TTGTGAGAAACTAATTTAGTCAGTACTTTCGTCACGTCAATGATTAAAGTCAAAAGCTTCGTCATACATCACTACCGTAACTACCCGTAACTAAATACAACGAAAAACAACAACAATATAAATTAAAAAAAAAAAATATAATAAAAAAAGTATAATTAGGACATTTAATCAATTACAAACATAATTATTTATATATGCACAATATATGATTGTTGACATTAAGTATTATTTCATTTATTTCATTTATTATTATTCATTTTTCTTTCAAAATGGCCTCCCTATAATTAAACCATCAACATACTACAACACATGTAAAAACATAGTACTACTTGATTTATTATTTGATTTTTCCTATGTTTGTGATTATATTTATTATATCTAACGCTTCAATAGTATATTTATTCTTGGGTTTTGATAATAATAAAAAGATAATGACAGATATAGACAGAAATTTATTGTTTAATTAAAATCCTTGGAACATGACATTACCCAATATGAAAATCAAAGTTGAAAATTTTTTCCAATAACTGCTGTGATCAGCATGGCGGAGCATTCGGATCGTGTAAACAAAATAGCCGATTAGTTACACCGCCTACTTTTTATATATAGTATTAGTATGATTTTTTAAAAAAGATAATCAACGAACAATAAACAAATAATTTTAAATCAATATAATGGATTTTTTGAAAGTTTATGTTATCTATCACTTAAAATACTTTTGTAATGTGAAAAGCTTTGTTCCACATCCACTCCACACACCAAAAACTATATATACTCCTAGAAAGATTTGTTGTTTATCAGTCTAATATTTATTAAATCTTTGAAATTTCACTATTTCCACAATAAATACTCCCTTTGTGATCAATTCATCTTCTGGATTTATAAATTCCTTGATATATGAATCTTTTTTGAAATGAAAAAACTCTAATAAATTTGGATTAAAGCATTGAATTTCTTTAAAGAGAGTAAATGCTGAATGTCTATTAATATGTTTACTATATGCAAGTCGAGAAAATATCGGCATTAAAGATTCTTCAATTTTTGTTCTGATATGCACTTACATATTATGCAAATTCATAACAGATACCCGAATTTGTTTGTTCATTTAATTACTTTTATTAAAATTTTCCACATATGTATGTATATTTATTTAATCTCCCTTTCCCGCATATTCATGCACTTACAACTATATTATATAATAAATTTGATTTTTTCCTAGTAAACATACCAATAATCTCTTTATAAACGTCGCACCTATGATATTATTATTTGATTGAACACTTTTGATCTTTACGTAATTAATTCGGATCCTAATTATTAACCATGTTATTGATCTGTTAAAAGTTTATTTTTACTTTCATAATTATATAAACTCCTTGAATCCTTTTTTTTTTTAATTTAGATTTTTTTAAAATCAGATCCTTTAAAAATCTTTTATTATAAAAAAAATTAAACCAATCTACGCTTTGATTAAGTTTAATGGAAATTAAAAAAAAATACGAAAAACAACTATAAAATAATGATGGTAGGTCGTATTCTGAAACTTTGTGTATAATGAAAACACAGATTTAATAAAAAGAAAGTTATTAATGAATCATTAATTCTTTGCTCACATATAAACAGGAAAGTTATTATTGTTTTCTTTCGATAATAAATAAAAATAAATCTCTTTTCACCACTGCAAAGTTATCTAATTCCAAAATCATTACTATTTACGTACCTGATCTTGGATATGCACAAACACTCCTGGAAAATAAAAATAAAAATAACAATAATAATCTAAATTCGGATTCAGATTTACCAGGTCCTCAGCTGCTTTTTTATCTTACCTTATTAAATGAACTCGCACAACAAATTCCTAATTTTGATATTAATAATGTGGAATTGGCAAAAATTTTTACTAATTCTTGGAGAAACGCCAGCACTGAATTCACGGACGAATTTATTATTCTGGCAGTTAAACTTGGACTCGATTAAATATCCAACTCGAATGTTGGAAATTGGTTAATCGTCGTCATTAAAAATCGAAAATTCAAACATAAACAAAAAAATTTTTTAATCGTTAAACACCAATAAATAATTGTTTCCTCGAAAAATAAATTTATTTTAAATTTAATTAAGATTTTTAATTATGAACTACTTTGATTTTTTTATTAATTTGAGATTGTTATTATTTAATATTTTCTAAATCTTTTTCATTTTATTGTAAATGCGAAAAGATTTTCTTTCTGCCGATTTCCATGTGTTATTACAGTACATTTTAAGCTTTTAAACATACCTGAAACATTGTTTATCAGACTGTTACAATTATATTTTACTATATGTAGTATATATTTATATTTTACTATTTGTATATAGCATAAATTGAATTTATTTTGTACTACATTCAATGGAATTATTATGAATTTTAAAAAAGTTCAATAAGGAAAGGTGCATTTATTTATTTTCTATAATGGTAAAAGCTTGGACCAATTAAAATTATCTCATGTGTATCATATGCTTGCCTATAACGGCAAAGTTTAACACAAAGATCTTATAAGTGAAATGTTATCCCTTAAAGGAAATGAACCAAACGGAAAAATTGCATTTTTATGCATATCATCATCCATTTATAATTAATTATTTTTTCTGGAAAATAAATAATGCGCAAAAAAATGTATCCAAAAAAAATCCAAAATTTTTGTTTTTTTGAAATTCACAATTAGAAAAAGTTGTTATCCTGTGATTGATATCTGGTCTAAAACCGCAAAGTATGCAAAGATACTTGTTCTAATAAATAAGGTTACTTGGTGAGAAAAACAATTTAGAATACAGATATTTACTTTGATTTGTACTAAAAATTTCTTCTAAATTTTGACAAAATCCTTTAAATATTACAAAATTAATTATTATTACATAGGTAAACTCGATAAGTCGGATTTGGCTTAACTCGGACAAAATTTTTCAGCCCTTTTTTCAATAATTAAAATCTCTTGATAAATCGAACAACATATATAAACCTTGTTAAGCTGTAAGTCGGACGACTTCACCAGTCAGGTATAATAAATTACTCTCGATAAGTCTGAACACGTGATTTTTAATAGACAATCTTTACTATTTTTAGTAACATATACAAATTATTTCATCATTTTCGTCATTTTCGTCATCACATTTTTGATGATTTAGAAATAACATTCTTGTTTGTATCGTAAACAATATATTTCATAGGTTATATCCATCGATTATATCATTTATTATCTCACTGATGATTTAGAAAGAATATTCTTGTTTGTATCATATGCAATATGTTTATATTTATTATCTCATTTTTATATCATATCATTTGATCATTTAGAAAGAACATTCTTGTTTGTATCGTAAACTACATTTTTATTATATATATCATTAGTTATATCATTGTTTATATCATTTAGCAATTTGTAAAGAATATCCATTGTTATATTGCAAAACAATACATTTATGTATTTTTAAAACAAACTAGTATAGATACTTATTTAAATAAAGAATAGTAATTTTTTGTTTATCTTCTGTTTGTTTTATTAAACGGTTATTCTTTTTATTATTTTATAAATAAATATTTTTTTCAAAGTTGGATATTTAAGTTAGAATGTAAAAAATCTATTTTGCCAGTACATCAAACTCTTGCTACTTGGTTAATTATTGAATGTTTTAAGCGTGGTATATAGAACGTTTACAAACAGTTGTGTTGCAAATTTAATAATTAAGTGTACACATGTAAAGTCGATAAGTCGGATTTGGCCTAACTCGGACAAAATTTTTCTCCCCTTTTTTTCAATATTTAAAAAAATTTGGTAAGTCGGACGACATATATAAAGTCGCGATAAGTTGTAAGTCGGACGACTTCTTTAACCAGATAGTAATAAATGACTCGATAAGTCAGACCAGTGATTTTTTCAAATATTGAAAGATAATCCTTACTATTTTTAGTAAATACGCGCAATTATATATTTTGTAGAATTACTATTAATAATAATTTCATCATTTTCATCATCATTTATAATCTTGTTTTGTATCTGACAATGTTCATATTTTATTATCTTTTTTATATCATTAATCATGTTGCTAATTATCATCTCATTTGATTATTTAGAAAGAACAAGAACATTCTCGCTTGTATCATAAACAATACATTATATTTTTAACTCATAAATTATATCATAGGATATATATCATAGGATATATATCATTGATTATATCATTTATAATTTTGAAAGAAGAAAAACATATCATAAACAATACATTTATATTTTTATTTCATTATATCATAAGCTGTATCATTGACTACATCACTTTGATGATCTAGAAAGAATATTGTATTGCAAAACAATATATTTATATATTTTTTAATTATGTTCTGAAATATGTATAAAAAGATTGACTTTCCGACCTTCTGAATTTCTAATAAAAGATCAATATACAAATCAATAATAAACCTATTTTACACTTGTAAAATTTATAAAATTAAAAATTAAAACTATAATTATGGATATAGAAAAAACATCTAGTAAATTTGGAAGCAAAAAAGGAAGAAAATTAGTTACTCTTACCAATGTTCAAAAAAAAAGAATTATGTGAATATAACATCAACAATCCAACAAAAACATATGAAGAAATTGGCAAAAAATTTGGTATTGGTAAGTAAACTGTAGGAGATGTTCTTGGAGAAAAAGAGAAATAGCTTGCAATTACTGAAAGTTCAATTGATGCCAATAAAAAACACAGTCATGGAGGTGATTGGCCACAGTTAGAAGAAGCATTGGCAATTTGGGTGAATCTTGCCAATGAGGCTAACCATA